TAAAAGATTCCCAGGTGATTCTAATGTGCAGCCAAGGTTGAGAAGCACTGCTCTATCCTCCCCTCCATTCTAGATTAAGTGCTTCTGCTGGACGGGATACCCCAACCCCACTCCATCCCCCGTCGTCCTCACTGCTAACAACCGCGTTTTCCACATTATACTGAAATAATTTGTTGATGCGCGCTCTTCTCCAACAAGACTGAACATCTTGCTCGCAGAACAGGGTGGAAGCCATGTGTGCACGGAGCGCCTAGCACATGGCTCAATAAACGTTTCATGAACCGAGTCAACCCCCAGGGACAGCTTCCGAGGCACAGGACGCTCAGACCACCGGGTCCGATCCTCACACTCTCTCCGACATGGCCAGCTCCACCCACCTTCTCGAAGCGGTCCTGGTCCCAGGCATCATCGTAGCCCGAATAGTTCCCGGGAAAGTCGGTGGTATGAACCTAAAGGAGAGAGAGAGGCGTCTGTCCGCGAAGGGGCAGCGAGGCTAAGCCCGTCCCCACTCCCGTCCCCCTCTCATTTTTCTCCTCCCGACTCCAAGGCCACAGAGCTTACATTGCGAACGCCGAACTCCCCCAGCACCACGCGGCTCCGCATCTCCTCCACCGCCTGGGCCGCCGCCATCTTCGCCCCCTCCACGTGATTCAGGTTGCAACTGGCGCGTACGTTCTAGTCGCCCTCCTCCGTCTCCGAGGCAACGCGTCACCGCCTGGAAGATTAAATATCGCGAGACTCTGTCCTCTGTCCACGTCCCCAGCTTCCGGAAGTCACTTTGAGCCAAACATCCGGGTTTCTTTTTTTTTTTGCGGTCCGGTGGATCCCACCTCTCTCCCCCTGTACCTTTCCTCCTCTCAGGCCCACGTCTCTCCTGCTCGTCCTCCGCGCGCGGGAGCAGCGCGGGCTTCAGCGACGGGAGCCCTCGAGGGACATGGCAACTACGGCGACGCCGGCCGGCGGCTCCCGCAATGGGACTGGCCCGGAATGGGGAGGGTTCGAAGAAAACATCCAGGTAATGGCCTCAAGGCTTCGGCTGCCAGCCGGACGGCGGTGGTCAGAAGTGCCGGGGGGACTCTCCCCGGGCCCTAGAAGTCTGCTCCGTTTGCAGCACTTTTCTTCTCCTTTGGGTCTCGGTGCACCTGACGGTCAGGGGCACTGGTGCTGGCCCGAGAGGGCCGGACGTGTACTCGGGCCGGAGGGCCTCGGGCCCCACCCGCCTTCTTTCGGGAAAGTTAGGAGATCGGTCGGGGCCAGGGGGAGTATTGCACTAGCTGAAACCATACTGTGTGCACAGGCTTGTTCGGGGTTGGGAAAGACAAAGGAAGTGGGCACTTTTGCAGTCCTTTGGGCTTTGATAGGGAAAGTAGGAGAAAGACATGTGTGGGAAACAGGGAGTAGTCGGTTTCTCGGGCCAGAAAAGAGAGAACCAAGGTTCCGACAGCCAAGGAGTGGACGAGAATGCATGTTCTATGGTGATTCCAGCCCGTATCCCCAGTAGTGCAAGAACAAAGCCCCAAGCCCTGGGGTGAACAAAGAGGGACTGAATGGATGGGGCAGAAAGGTCCTGCACTCTAGGAGCTCACTGTCTTCACAGGGTGGGGGCTCAGCTGTGATTGACATGGAGAACATGGACGATACTTCAGGCTCCAGCTTCGAGGATATGGGTGAGCTGCACCAACGCCTGCGTGAGGAAGAAGTAGATGCTGATGCAGCCGCTGCTGAAGAAGAGGATGGGGAATTCCTGGGCATGAAGGGCTTTAAGGGACAGTTGAGCCGGCAGGTGGCTGACCAGGTAAGCAAGACGATCCCTGGCAGGTGGGAAAGTGCACCTAGGAGGCCCCAGGTTCTGGCGTAGAACCACGTAGAAATCCAACAGAAAATACGAAGAGGGCTTAGAGCCAACAGTCTGACAACACCCATCCACCCCATCCTTGTCTTCCTCCCTTCAGATGTGGCAGGCAGGGAAGAGACAAGCCTCGAGGGCCTTCAGCTTGTATGCCAACATCGACATCCTGAGACCCTACTTCGATGTGGAGCCTGCCCAGGTGCGAAGCAGGTGAGGATCCTTCTGGCAGACGCTGCCCTCCTCACATCTAAACCACAGCCAGAGACCAAGCCCTTAGAACCCCCCTCTTGACACCACCAGCCCTCATCATTACATCTGTATTCCAGCTACACCATTCTTCTTACCAGACCCGGAACAGGACATGGTGTTACCCCACCACCTTCCTCTTCTTTCCATCTAGGAAACCACTCATCTTGCCTCAAAACCTAGTTCAAATGTTGCTTCCTTTGTTTCTCATTCCTCAACCCTGTGCCCAGTTTGTCCTTTCCTGTCGCTCCCATGGAGGTCTGTGCTTTCCTCTAACAGATAACACTTACCAAGCATGTCAAACTCGATGGCGGGCAGGCGAGTGCCTCGTTTATTTGAGCAGTGCTATGCTTTCTTATTCTTGGGTCTGTCTCCCCAGAGACCTCCTCAAAAGCAGGCTCTGTTTTGCTTATTTTATTCCCAGCACCAGAACAGTCTCTGCACCAGAATATCAGTACATGGTTGTTGAATGACTTTTCAGGAGCTGGAATTAATCTTGGTTTGGTTCTTTGTTGATCCTTTAATGTAACCAATACTTAGCAAATACCCAGTACACTCAGCAAGTACTTACTAAGCTTTTTCTCTGCATACTCTACTAATTGTGTCTGAGTTAGTGGGGAAGACAAATGGGAGCCTTGCCCGTGAGTGCAGTTAAAGTACAGCACTCCTTTGCTATGAAGGGACATATGGGGGACACCTGACCCAGAGTAGGCTAGAGGGGGGACAGGGTGGGTTTCCCAGAGGGAGTAAAATCTAGTCAAATTCCAAGGTATTATTAGGAGCTAGCCACTTAAGCAGGGAATGGGGACTTGTATTCCTTCTGCCTGGAATTTTCATACCACTTCAAAATCATTTCAAGAAAATACTCAGCAGTGCCTGGAGGAATGACAATCAGGAGAGAGGCAGGAGGCACACTGGTTCCCTCAAGTACCACCTTCAAAACCTTTCCCGGGGCTTCACCATCACAGTTCGGAAATCTGGGCATTCTCTGAGGTTTGCCTTTTAAAGGAGAGCAGTTCAAATAGGTAAATTGTCAAACCCTCTCCCACGCCCAACGGGGCTCCCTGGTTCTCCATTTTGCTGCTGCATTAGTCAGCACAGCATCAAAGGTGGTCCTTCCTGGAAGCATTTTTCGGGCAACGAAGTGATTTCCTCATTCCCTGTCTGTCTTTACTACCTTCTCCCTTTACTGTCTAGCATGTTCTCTGGAGTTAGAGAGATGAATAAGGTTCAGGCCCTCCAGAACCTCTTAAGTGCTGCCTCTGCTCTCATCTCTCCTCTCCCAGGCTCCTGGAGTCCATGATCCCTATCAAGATGGTCAACTTCCCCCAGGTGAATAGAGGGTAGCATGACTGGAAGAGCCAAGGGAGGCGCTAGGGCAGAGGGCGGGGTCAGCAGGCAAAACCTAGGAGGAACAAACAGAAGATCCATTGTACCCTCAGCCTGAATGAGTTGGTATATTGACAGAAAATCGCTGGTGAGCTCTATGGACCGCTCATGCTGGTCTTCACACTGGTTGCCATCCTCCTCCACGGGATGAAGACGTCGGACACCATTATCGTAAGCAGGACAGAGGACCCTGGGGGGTGGCTGAGTTGAAAGCTGCCCAAGGAGAAAATGTTGGAGTGAGTTAGAAGCAGCCCTGAGGATAGCCCTGGGTAAGGCAGAGACCAGAGGCCTCCCAGGATTAAGTAGAGCCTTCACCCCACAGCGGGAGGGCACCCTGATGGGCACAGCCATTGGCACCTGCTTTGGCTACTGGCTGGGTGTCTCATCCTTCATCTACTTCCTCGCCTACCTGTGCAACGCCCAGATCACCATGCTCCAGATGCTGGCACTGCTGGTAAGGAGTCCAGCATGGTGGTGGGCAAGGGTGACCTTATAACAGTAGCCGGGCCCTGGTCTGCATCTGTCCTGGGGCTCCAGGGCCTGGAATGGGATAAGCTGGCCGGTGGACCATTTACTTCTCAGGGTCCCCATGAGGGTCCAAAGGCCAGCCCACCCTGAGAGATTTTCCTCTCCACCATCCCTCCTAGGGCTATGGCCTCTTTGGGCACTGCATTGTCCTGCTCATCACCTACAACATCCACCTCCATGCCCTCTTCTACCTCTTCTGGCTGCTGGTGGGGGGGCTGTCTACCTTGCGTATGGTAAGCTGGGCAGGAGATTTCCGGGGGTGGGCTGTCCTCCCGGGGAGCTGGGGAAAGGCCAGAACTTGGGCCGAACCTCATAAAAGGCTCTCAGTGGGGGAGAAGAGCCCGAAGATGGTTCTGATCTGGGGAGGAGTATCTTCTCCACTCTGCTCACTGGAGCCAGGCCCTCTAAGCCAGCCATCGCCAACCTTTCGGACCTCACGGACCACCCATTGGCGACCGCTGCTCTAAGCTGTATTCCTGTGGCCCTAGGTGGCAGTGCTGGTGTCACGGACTGTGGGCCCCACCCAGCGGCTGCTCCTCTGTGGCACCCTCGCTGCCCTACACATGCTCTTCCTGCTCTATCTGCACTTTGCCTACCACAAGGTGGTAGAGGGTGAGTGACAGGAGGCCTGGGCGTGGGGGGAGGGAAGCACAGCTGGCTAGGGCAGGATCCAGCCAGCTCTTGCTCACCTTCCATCCTCCTCCTCCTCTCAGGGATCCTAGACACACTGGAGGGCCCCAACATCCCACCCATGCAGAGGGTCCCCAGAGACATCCCCGCCGTACTCCCTGCTGCGAGGCTTCCAGCCACCGTGCTCAACACTACAGTCAAGGCCGTCGAGGTGACCCTGCGGTCACACTGACCCACCTGAAACCCTTGGCCAGCCCCCTGGGACCCTGCTGCAGTGGAGGAAGATTCAAGGACAGAACTGAAGACACGTCTCTGCTGGGCTGCAGCTGCCAGAGAGCTGTAGCCGCTTAAGCTCCTCCTTCAATGCCTATTGGGGCTTCTGAAGAGGACGAGGCCAGGAACCCTGGCCAGGACTGCAGGGCTCTGCAGCCAGTGCAGAAAGTGGGTCAGCGCCTCTGAGGCCTCTCACTACCCACCCCTTCCTTCCTCTTTATTTCTCCCACATTGTCTTGTTAAATATAGACTTGGTAATTAAAATACTGATTGAAGTCTGGGACTGCAGCTACCCTTCCAGTGGTCCTCCCTGCCACCCTGCTTCCTGTGCTCTCTGCTGTTCTGTCAGTGGTGGTGATGTCATACGTTCCCTTACGTATACCCTCAGGATGGAAGGTGGGACAGTCAGGAGGAAGGTAGGACAGCCCAGGCTACCCTGAAGCCAGTGGTTGAATATGGCACCTGTCCCTGGGTGCAGAGGACACCTGACCCACGGAGCAGCAGGGAGGCCTCAAACACAAGAACCATAAGTCTGGTGGAGCGGTGCACCAGCTTGAGTCGGGGACACCAGTGGAGCAATGACAATCGAACAAAAACTTCCAGGCTCAACGCCATGTCATTATAAGGCCCTTACACACCTGGGCCATTGTGTGGGAATAATTTTCCTGTCTCAGCTCATTTGAAGCCAAACTTGGCTTTGCCTGGGTTATCTTGGAGCCAGAGGAACAAACTCTTCAGGAGTTCTGTTCTTCCTCTTCAAGAGTGCTGGTTGCTCTTAAAAACAACTACTCAGTGGTTGAGCATCGACCTATGAACCAGGAGGTCATGGTTCAGTCCCAGTCAGGGTACCTGCCCAGATTGCAGGCTCAATCCCCAGTGTGAAGCGTGCAGGAGGCAGCTGATCAGTGACTCTCATCATTGATGTTTCTATCTCCCTTCCTCTCTGAAATCAATAAAAATATATATATTTTAAAAATCACAACCCAAACCACCATCCACCCACCACCTATTTCATCTGCCCCACTGGTTAACAAGAAATAAAATTTTTTACCTCTCTTCACTACACTTCAATTACTCATTAAGAAAAAAATTTTTTTTTTACCCTAGTAAATCTAGGTCAGCATCTTGCCTTCCTAATAAAGGGACTAAGAAAGATGTGCCCTTCATTCGCCTGAGGCCCCCTGACCATCACCCTTGGAAAAATTCCAACATTACAGTGCGTCCCTCCTGACAGCTGCAGCCCAGTTTCCATGGCCCCACCACCACTCCAGGTCCTGATCCTGACACCCCCGTTTATTTTGGCTACCCCCGGCCTCACAGGTACTCAGCCTCAGTGTCAGCAGTGCCCTTAGCACCTGGGGAAGGAGCGGCCCCAGCACCCTGCATCTACCTGAGGCTCGCCCTGCATCTACCTGAGGCTCGCCTGCCTCAGAAACACTCGGAGGTGTCCCTGTGCCTGGTAGCTCAGGCCACCTCTTCCCCACCAGGCCCCTGAGGCTGCCACTGCGAAGCTGCCATCTTGATACCACTGAGAGTTCCTTCTCTATTTCTAAAATCCTACAAATTAATGCTTAAATCTTGATGGCATCTCTCCTCCCACGCTGACTGCATTCTTAGCTGGTATCCTGATATGAACCCACATCCTAATATATAAACCTGCCCAGCACAGTCAATAACACTAACTCTGCTCCATCATGTTTAGTTGGCCAGTATGGTCCCCAATAGTATCCACAGACCTTCCCGGACACCCGGGGCAGATCCAGCCCTGGCTCCCAGCCCCACCCTCTACACCTGGGGTCCTGGCTTCTCTTCTATCCACAGAGGGTGACAAAGTAGTCTGGAGTGAGGATAACCACTTCTAATAGAAGTGCACATCTTCCGTCCCAAGTTCTCCCCTCATTCAGCAGGTGTGAC